CAGGCGCCTCGTGAGTGGCACGACACACTGAGGACGACACTTGCGGCTTTTGGGCTTGCTCCTTCGACAGCTGACCCGTCGCTGTTTCTGCGCACCGACACTTCGCTGCCGCCGTTCTACATCCTCGTCTACGTCTACGACTTGGTCTAGGCTACTGCTGACACTGAGGCACTCGCCCTTGTGAAGTCGGAGCTGCAGAAGAGACACATGTGCATAGACCTGGGTGAGCTGCGCAGCTACCTTGGCTTGCATATCATCCGGGACAGAGCACAGCGCACCATCACACTGACTCAGTCACACATGGTGCAGCAGGTCCTTCAGCGCTTCGGCTTCACTTGGTCCTCGCCACAGTCCACTCCTATGGCTACCAGTCACTCACTCTCAGCTCTGCCTTCGGATGAGTCCGTAGAGCCGAGTGGCCCGTATCCAGAGCTTGTGGGCTGCCTCATGTACCTGATGACCTGCACTCCTCCTAACCTTGCCTACCCTCTTAGCATTCTGGCTCGCTACGTTGCGCCTGGGAAACACCGGCGAGAGCACATGGAGGCTGTTAAGAGGGTGTTGCCCTACTTGTGCAGTACATCAGGAATGGGGCTCGTGCTTGGAGGACTGGGTGAGGTTGTCCTCACTGGACACTCAGACGCGTTTTGGGTTGACGACCTGGCTACGCAGCGGTCGTCACAGGGTTACACTTTCAGCCTCGGTTGTGGCTCTGTTTCTTGGTCGTCTACCCGCTCATCTTCTGTTCTCAGCTCCAGTTGTGAGGCTGAGATCTACGCCACGGCCATGGCTGCACAGGAGTTACGCTGGCTCACCTACCTGCTGACCGACTTGGGAGAGCGGCCTCGTTCTCCTCCAGTTTTGTACGTAGACAACAAGGCTGCCATTACCGTGTGTCATGAGCACAGACTGGAGCACAGAACGAAGCACATTACTCTGCGTTACTTCCCTACTCCAGAGCTGCAGATGCGTGGTCAGCTTCGTGTTGCTTACGTGGCCACCCGAGCCAACACTGCTGATATATTCACCAAGGCACTTCCGTCTAGTGATCATCAGCCCTTCTGTACTATCTTACGCCTTGTGCCTGTTTTGTCTCACTTGCTCACATCGTGACCTTGCTTGTACTGTAATCTATATATATACCTGCTTGCTTGCTTTTGCTAGGTAGTGATCACTGTACTGTTGCTGTTCCATATATATACCTCTGCATGTGAACTGGCCTTGTGGCCCTTTGCCTATGCTCGGAGTGTGTGGTGACGTTGTGATCCACCCTGAGCTTGCTTTGCTTTTCTTGACTGGTCTTGTGACCCCTTGTTCTCCCCCACTTTGCCTATGGGGGTGTCAAACTATATATATGTTTTATAATTAGATGTAGGATGTAGTGGGGTAGCCAATGTGGGGTACAACCCCTTTAGGTTTTACTCTTGTACCAAACTCTCTCGACACTTTAGTCACACATCATTCCTACCTACTCTTCTAACACTTTGTTTTGAAGCCGTTCGCTAAGGGAGAACCTTCGGGAATGTATACGAACCGGTCAGTTATTCCAACACTCCCCTTCATTCCTGAAGGTGAGCCATGTGGGATTTCTTCGAGATCTTGCAAAGGTTGGCGCAGTCCTGGAACTTTGGCAGCTTCTTTTTTTAAAATTCCACTGCCATATCACCAGTCGGGCAATACGTGAGTTCGACTTTTGCCCTTGTCAATCTTGTCTTTGACAAAGAAGTAACCAAGTGCGATGTGCTTCATGCGATCCACGAAGTCGGGCTTGTTCGCGATTTTGGTCGTGCTCTGGTTGTCACAGATGATTGTCACTTTCGTTTCCTGTAGGAGCTCCATGTCTTTCACGGAGGGCGGGTGAAGTCGGCTTCGGCCGACGAGAGGGCGGTCAACTCCTAGCTTCTAGAGTTCCATGAAATGTGCCCAGCGGGTTCTAGTTGAAACACAATGCCTGTGCGAGAGCGTCTCTTGTCAGGATCCTTTGCGTAATCTGCGTCCACATAGCTGCGTAGTTGGAGAGTAGATGTTAAGTTAGCAGTGTAGGTGAGGCCGACGTCGGGAGTGGATACGAAGTATTGAAGTGCTCGGCGTAGATTTAACAGGTTATCCTCTTAAGGTCGGCGCAGGTATTGTGCGAGCTGGCTTGCGACGTAGGAGAGCTATGGTCGGCCTGTGACGGCGGCGAACAGGAGACAGCTGAGTTGATGCTGGTAGAGGCGATGGTCGTCAATGGAGAGCGGTGTTTTGTCAGGTTCATGGTCAGGAGGAGGTGTGCGTAGTTGAGTGGTGAGATTAATTGGTGCGATTGCGAATTTCTTCGTGAGCGTCTTGGTATACTTCACCGCCGATAGATGGATGGAGGTAGCTGACTGGGTGACGTTGAGACCGAGAAATAGTGTGACATTGTGATTAATTGTCACTTCCAGTTTCTCATTGATTTCTTCTTTGAAGCGGTGTCGCCGGTGTAGAATAAGTCGTCCACATAGGTGAATAGGAAAATGAAGTTACCACGTGATTCCTTGAGATGCATCCCTTGGTCGTGCGGCACCTGGGCGAAGCCGAGTTCGATGAGGACAGCGTGTAGATATTGCTGCCACAAACCGGGTGCATGTTTGATGCCGTAGAGAGAAGTAACGAAGTACGATGTACTTTGTGCGATTCACGAAGGCGAGCTAGTTCGTGATTTTAATCGCGCTCTAGTTGACCCAGAGTAACGTGAAGTGCCCATTCATCGTCACTTTCGCTACCCGCAGGAGCTCTATGTTCTTCGTGAAGAGCTGCGCTGGCGGCAATGAATTTGGCTTCGGCTGACAAACGATCGATCAACTCCTGCTTCTGGGAGTTCCATGCAATACCAAGCCGAGAGGGTTCTAGTTGAAACACAAAGATTGTGCGAGAGCGTCTGTTGCCAGGATCCCCTGTGTAATCTGCGTCTATATAGCTTCGTAGTTGGAGTGTAGATGTTAAGTTAGCTGTGTAGGTGAGTCAGACGTCGTGAGTGGATACGAAGTATTGAAGTGCTCGGTGACTGTTAACCTTTGCGTGGCTTCCTGATTGCCGCGTGCTCTATATTATGTAGCGCGATACTGGTACATTTAATGCATCGTTATGAAGCAGTTCGCTAAGGGAGAACCTTAGGGAATGTGCAGTAACCTATCTATTATTCCAACAGAATCACACTTCATTCACCTAACACACCACATTTTCCTTGGTGTTGCAGGGGTTTGCCCAAGGCTAATTTTTTGTTTTAAGCAACCCTTAGCATCAGTCCTGCACCATTTCAAAACCCTGATTATCAGTGTGACCCATTGGGAAAACTCTTTTTCATCAGGGTTTTCCATAGTTTCAAGAAATTTACCCTTAGAAGGTGTCACCTCGGACGTTCAAAGCGGCTTGTTCGAACAAGCACCGTATTAAACCGAACTGTATGTTTAAACAACCGTACTGTACCTACCTTAACCTTCCGAAATTCGAAATTCAAACAGCTGATTACCACCTGAGGTGACACGCCCTTAGGCCAAAGTGTAACAATTTTCATAACCCCGATGAAGTCTTCTTAATGAAGTTCTGAACAAGAAGTTCAACTCTAGGATACGATCGCCGGTCTTCATCATTCCGATAACCGTCCTACTAACTGGGCCACTTCAACATAACTTGAAGAGCTTGTTTTAATAATTTTCATTTTAGCGGGACAGGAGGAGGGGGGGGGGGGGGGGGGGGGGGGGGGTATTCGCTTCAGGGTAAGACTCGTTAAGAATAACAGTAACCCTGGGCGTCAATGTGCCTTAAACATAAACCCTGGCATATCATAGAAAAACCTGAAAATTTTACCCTAAGGCATCAGTGTGGCTACCAAAAACCATCCTGATTATCATGGTATCAGGGTGATTTACACTAATAAATTTTGGCCTGGGTTTGCCTTGTTAGGTATGAGATCTGTCCTGTCACACCAAAATTTCAACATGTCACAGCTTAGATTTGCCATGTCAACGCAAGATTTGCACAGCCGGATATCACATTATGGTATGTTTCAGTCTCTTTTGAAACACAAAAAATGTTTTTTGATTGATCAAAATCATAAAATCATTTCTGAAGACCCTGCACCTAGCCTAGCCTGATCAATCATTTAAGTTATCACCATCCGAACTGTTGGTTGAGTCTAGCAACTAAAAGTACAGCACATAGACACCAACGAAATTGTTGTGTCGGATTTGTAAGAGGGTGTTGGTCGTTCAGTCTCGCATGCGAAGAGCACGACTAGGCTTGCGTAAAGCGTGTTGCAACATAGCTTCTTCACAAAGATGACCATAGATTTTGGCGGTCGTTGCTCTCGTTCACAGTTTTCGAATTTCCCCATTCCAACGCGTCTCACGGACTTCTAGAGCAATTCCTTATCGTCGATTCCTATTTTCTTTAGTCTGTTTATTTTCTCCAAGATTCCGCGTCTGTTTCGACACGTCTCGCAGACTTTTGAAACGAATCTCCACCGTCAAATTCTGATCATCAACGTGAATCTCTAATCATGGTACGTCGAAGCTTTGTTGCCAATCAGGTTACCCTTCCTCCTAGTTACCCTCCTCCCTGGTTACTGTCGATTTCGGAGTGATTTTTGCGTTCTGAATTACAAAATGTTCTTGTCGGATTGCGCGACTCTCAGGACTAGTCACCGTTTATTCTTCCTGCGTTATCACGCGTGTGTTGGAGCTCAAAAGGATATGTCACACTTTATTCACGATGTTGTTAAGAAACAATATATTCATCGTTTTGTGATCCGCACTAGTCACAGTTGCGTTGCGCGCGAAAGACTGGCTGTTACAGCGTCCAATCTGGCCGTACCCTCAATCCTGATGTGATCTCGCTATTATCTCGGTGATGTATCTATTTCCCTCCGCTTCCCCCCCTTCCCCTCCCCCTCTCCTCTACCCCCCCTCCCGTTCCTCCCCCCTCCTCCCGCCTCTCGTTCCCTCCCTCCACGGCAGTACTTCCCGCCGTTTGGGGGCATGGGCCAGCCTCTGGGCTCCTTCGAGCAGAGCTTTCACGTGTACCCTGTCTCCTTCATAGATAAGGTGTGGTGCAGTGTGGTGCGATCGGGTTCGGTGCAGTATGAAGTGCCTTAAAGCTCCTTCGAGCAGGGCTTCTACGTGTATCCTGTGTCGTTCATAGGTAAGGTGGGTAATTCTGTTTAGTTCTGATCTGACGGATGACCTTTCGAGACGTCACTTCGTGTGGAAGTTTCACGTGCAGCCAGTATCGTTCACCAGTAAGGTGTGGTGGCGGTCTCTCTCTAATGACATGGGAGTGCAATTCGGTGTAATACGAGCACTGAGTTGAGGCGGAGCTCCTTCGAGCAGATCTTTCACGTATACCCTGTCCCATTCATAGATGTTTGCGGTGCGGAGTGGTGCGATGGGGTGCTGTGCGGTGTTTTCTTTCTCTCTTCATCTCTCCCTTCCGCCTGTTTCCTCCCCCCCTCCGTCCGCACCCCACTCCCTCTCTCATCGCAATCATGTTGGCACTGCTGGCAGGCTCATTTGGAGAATGGCGATAAAGGTGTGTGGGGAGGAAGGGGTGTGTGTGGGGGGGGAAGGGGTGTGTGTGGGGTAAGGGGTGTGTGGGGAAGGAAGGGGTGTGTGGGGGAAAGGGGTGTGTGTGGGAGGAAGGGGTGTGTGTGCGAGGAAGGGGTGTTTGTGCGGGGAGGGGTGTGAGTGCGGGGAGGGGTGTGCGGGGAGGGGTGTGTGTGCGGGGAGGGGTGTGTGTGCGAGGAGGGGTGTGTGTGCGGGAGAAAGGGGTGTTTGTATGTGTGTTTGGCGGTTGCCTCTGTCGCACATGACTCACATCCCTGATTGGCCAAGGAGGGTGGTTGTCGGTTGCCCCTTCTTTTGCACTCAACCCCCCCACTTCAACAACGTTGCCTCTTCTCTTTTTGCATTCTCTCATTGCCATAGCTACCTGTCTGTGGTGTTGCTGCTATGAGTCATTGTTCATAAACCCTGCACTCACTGCATGATATGATTCTCAAGGCTCCTTGAAAATAATTTCGTTGTTGCTACAAGTGACTGATCATAACGCCATAGTTACTGTATACGTTATCAAGCCACTTCACACTTGGTATCGTGCGCAACATCCCCCTCCCGCTCCCTTCCCTCCCCCCTCCCTCTCCCCTCCTTTCTGTGAGCCATCGTCCATAACCCGTAGTAGTTGCATAAAGAATGAAGCGACTTCACAGTTCTGCTACCTTCATCTTCTTCCCACTCGTACCCTGCCCATCAACCCCCTCCCTCCCCTTTTCCTCTCCACTCCGGTCTCCCCCTCGCCCCTCGTGTGTCTTGCGCTCCCCCTGGCTGCCCAGTCAGACGGGGCGATCCATCACTCTGCAGCCGTGCTCCTCCCATCAGTCATCATGCCGCCCTCTGCCCTCGACAGACTTGGTAAGTCCACCATACCCGTTTTAAGCCTGCTTTGTTTCTCAGCAGGCGTGGTAATGTCGCCATATCCGTTAAAGCATGCTCGCTAATTCTGCACACGCTCGTTTGCCAACTTGTTGTATCCAGTTTTCACCACCCTGCCCTCTCCCCTTCCTCTTCCTGTCTCTGTGACCCAGCCTCGCACCACAGACTAACCCATGCTGTTCAAGGTTCCCATTAGAGAATTAATTAACCCTCTGTACCACTCTTCATCCTTTTCCCCCCCATTCCACCACCCCTCCTCCACATAAACTACCCCATGCTGTTTGAGGTGCACATGAGAAAATAAATAAACCCATCTGTACCGCTCTGCTCCCCTTTCCCCCCGCACCCCACCAGCCTCACTGAACAGTGAGCTGTTTGAGGTGCTCAGCGCAGCAGCAGTACTTACACCACCCCGTGCTGTTTCAGGTGCACAATGCAGTGGCCAATCGCACGCACGCTACACGCTCATCATAACCCATCTGTACCGCTCTCCACTCCTCCCTCACCCCCCCAATCCCACCAGCCTCTCTCCACATAGACTACCCCATGCTTTCTGAGGTGCACCATGCATGCTCATCCCAACTCACAACCCATCTTTTCCACTCTCCACTCCTCCACTCCTCCACACCACCCCCCACTGCACCCCACCAGCGTCGCTGCACATAGACTACCCGATGCTGTTTGAGGTGCACAATGCGGCGGCCAATCGCACGTCGCACTGCGGTGTGCTGGAGTTCATTGCAGAGGAGGGCTACGTGTACATGCCATACTGGGTGAGGCTTCCTGTATCGGTTAAGGAGAATGGTGGCATTTTGGAGTTCATTGCAGATGACCATATGGCCGCCGTGCCTCACTGGATTGGATTAGGCTTGCCATATTGGGTATGGCTTGCCAAAACGGCTTTGCCTAACTAATAAAGGCTAGTCATATTGGGGTAGGGCTTTCCGCATTGGGTAAAGTTTCTGTGTTTGGTACACAGAACCTGCTGTTACCTTACAACTCACATCCCTTCATCTCCTGCATCTTTTTTGGATGATGCAGATTCTGCTGCTACAGAAGGGGGACATAGTGCCAGTGCGAGTCAATCTACAAGCCACCTGCTAATGCCCTCTCTCCTGTTCTCCTCCGTTGCTACTCTGTATCCTTCCTTTCAGATGATGCAGAAACTGCTGCTACAGGAGGGCGACGACATAGTGCGGTTCAGAAACGCCACTCTCCCCAAGGGCACGTACGTGAAGCTGTAGCCGCACACCAAGGACTTCCTTGACATCTCCAACCCCAAAGCCGTGTGAGTACGTGTCACTGTACAAAATGTGCTTGTTTTGGGGGGGGGTGGGGAGGGGGGGGGGGGGGAGGGGGAGAAGAGGGGGGGTGGTTGGGGGTAGTAGCTAGCGCCCACACCCACTGTCCCCAAGGGTTCCTACGTGAAGCTGCAGCCATGCAGACTTTCTAGACATATCCAATCCCAAAGCTGTGTGAGTAGCATTCTTATAGGGGTGGTGACTGTAATGGTAAGTGATGTGCTTATCTAGAAGGGGGGAGGGGTTGGGGGGGAGAGTAACGCCATTCCTCAAGGGCACGTATGTGAAGGTGCACGCAGCCACACACCAAGGACTTGCTCGATCTCTCCAACCCCAAGGCCGTGTGAGTAGTAGATGGGAGGTGGGAAAGCTGTGTGAGTGAGTGAGTGCGACTGTGATTGTGTGAGGGACGTGCTTATTGGAAGGGGGGAGCAGTAGTGCCACTCTCCCCAATTGCGCCTACGTGATGCTGCAGGCACACAGCAACTACTTCCTTGACGTCTCCAAACCCAAAGCTGTGTGAGTAGCATTCGAATAGGGGTTGTGACTGTAATGGTAAGTGATGTGCTTATCTTGGGGGGGGGGGGGGAGGGGGGGGGGGGGGTAACGCCACCCTCCCAAGGGCACCTACGTGAAGCTGCAGCCAAAACCCCAACCCTGAACCGTAACCTTAAATCCGAACCCTAACCCCTGACTTTCTGGGCATCTCCAACCCCAATGCCGTGAGAGTGGAGTGGACCTGAGGGGTGTGACCGATCGTAAGAGATGTGATAATCGTGGGGTACGACTGTGTGACAGTAACCAATCGAATTTATGTTGTGGGGAGAGTGATTCTAAGGATAGCTTATTGTGATTGTGGATGTGATTGGCTCCGTCATGCCTCTTACGGGCACCTCAGAAGCCCTTGCACATACCCTTTCGTCATCTTCCTTTCACCTTGCCTCGTCCTGCCATCCCATCCCCAGAACATGCAATAGCAATTCGACACTGGCTATACAAAATATCTTATTACTCGACACTTATTCGTATTGGATTCGAATTCGGCAGTATTCGAATCGTATTCGTATTCGGTTTTGGGTCAGTATTCGGCCAAATAAGAAACCACACAGGATTCGGAGAATATCCAGGAAAAATATTCGTATTCGTATTCGTTTGTACAGGCTTAGCGTCACGAGGCTCGAGAAAAGCAGCTTCCCCTGGCTAATGATATGAGCAACTGTTGTTGACTTATTTCTCTGATTTGGTTCATAAAGCTTCACTTATAGCAACGTGGCAGCGTGAGAATCCAGAAGGTCGACATGACTCATTGCAGCTTCTCCTGTCTCACCAAGGGGGAGAGCATCATGGCGGTGTACAGCACACAAGCACTACGTCATCCCACGTGCTGGACTCACGCCCCATGTGCACCCCGGGCTCAACCTCCCTCCCCACCCTCTCCATCCCGCTTGTACGTGCCCTTTCAGTCTCGACATGACTCTTCACAGCTTCTCCTGTCTGGCCAAAGGCGAGAGCATCATGGTGCCGTACAACAATCAGTGCTACTTCATTGACGTGGCGGTCTCACACCCTTAGCCCTGTGTTCTACCCCTCCCATATGCCAACTCTCCCTGTTTCCCGTGTGCCACCCCCCATTCCAGTCTGGAGATGACCCTGCGGTCGTTTTCCTGCCTGACCGCGGGCGAGAGCATAATGGTGGCGTACAACAACAAGCGCTACTTCATCGACGTGGTGGACGCGCGCCCAGGCGCCGCCATCTCCATCATCGAGACCAACTGCGAGGTCGACTTCGCCCCGCCCCTCGACTACGTCGAGCCCGCGAGGGCCCCTGCCGCGCCCAGTCAAGGCGCGGCAGCCGCGCCTGGCGGTGGTGCTGGTGGCAGTGAGGGTGGCGGGAAGAAGAGCGCCGCGAAAGATGGGAAAGCAGGTGTGTATGTGGGAATGGAGAGAGAGAGGGGGGGAGAAGAGGTGTGATGTGGTATATGTGCAATGGGCGCTGCACCTCCTACAGACCGGACTGCAGCCAGCCCACATGCAGCCAGCCCACATGCATCCAGCCTACATGCATCCAGCCCACATGCATCCAGCCCACATGCATCCAGCCCACATGCAGCCAGCCCACATGCAGCCAGCCCACATGCAGCCAGCCCACATGCAGTCAGCCCACATGCGGGCATGTCCATCATGGACACGGACTGCACGGTGGTCTTCGCCTTTCTCTTCCACTGTGAACGCGCACAAGCCTATCTTGAACCACTTCTCCCCTCTCTCTCCCCCCTCCCCCTTCCCACCTCTCCCATTTCCATCCTCTTTTTCCCTTTCTCCTCCTCCCCCACTCTTGTTCTCATGCGAATCTGAGCAGCCCGCCTTCACCCCACACCCTCCCCCCATCCTTTTCCCCACCTCCCCTTCCACACTTCTGCCCTCTCCCACACTCCCCCGCTTGTTTCTCTTATCTCACACCAACGAGACACACCTCTCACACCCAAGGAGCTGCCCTTCACAACTCCCCCCCCTCCCCCCCCCCCCCTTCTCCTCCCCCACCCCACACCCTCCAACCCTCCCTTACTTCCGTTCTCTCCCTCACCCCCGCTTTTTTCTCTGATCTCAATCAGATGCAGCCCCCCCACCCGAGGAGCCCGCCTTCATGCCTTTCGTTCCCCCCACCCTTCTTTCTTTTGCCCCTCTCCACACTCCCGCATCTGCTTTCTCACCTCACACCAACCACACGCAGCGACCCCACACCAGGAGTGCAACTTCACACCATTCATGTCTCCCCCTCCCTTCCTGCTTTTGCCCCTCTCCCACACTCCCCTGCTTGTTTCTCTTTATCTCAATAAATTACACATCCCCCCTCACCCGAAGAGCCTGCTTTCGCGCCATCTCCTCCCCTTTCCACCTCTCCCTTACTTAGCCCTCTCCCACACTCCCCACTCCACTCCCCTCTCACCTCACACCAACCAGACGCAGCCCCCCCACCCGAGGAGCCCACGTTCACGCCATTCGTCGGCATTGGCAGACGATTGGACGGCCGCCCAGCAGCCTCCCCCTCCTCCCCTGCCACGTCAGCAGCTGCCACGTCAGCAGCATCTAGAGAGGGCGTATCTGGGGCAGGCGGGGCTGGTGGGGCTCGTGGTAGTGCTGGTGGCACTGGTAGTAGTAGTGCTGCTGGTGCTGCTGCTGCGAGTGGCGGAAGGAAGGAGGGGCGGCTAGTGTTTGGATCGGGAGACGGAGCACCGCGAGCGGGTCCCAGGGTACGTGGTTGAGTGTGGTGTGGTGCGGTATGGTCTTTTATTTTTTCATGTGTGATGATGTATGGGTATTGCGTTATGGTGAATGTGGCACTTGGTAAGTTTGGTTGGTGAATGTGTATCTGGGGATGCTCGCACCCATGGTCGCATGCGGTTATCTACATGCAAACGTAATTATATATCCATTCTCTCGGCATGTCAATGCCTATATGTGAATTCCATCGGCTCTGCATGCAGGTTTCAAAGAAAAAGGAGGAGCCTCAAAAGGAAGAACCTCAGAAGCCATCCTTCCAAGCTTTCTCCGGAAAGGGTTATTCTCTGCGCTGACGCTGCAGCATGTGATTCTGTTCACCGTGTCGGTTATTGTTTGCATTAGGGCGTCACTGCGCTAGGCGCTCATAAATATCTGTACGGGGTGGTTGGCACGGGCGGGCTGCGGTTGCGTAGGGTTGTTGGGAACAAACAATCTTAAGCGCCTCTGTCGTGTCGAAACACCAAGGCACAAGCGAAGCAGAGCATATCGAGGCACCAGCGAGTCAACCCTCGGAGGTTGAAGTAACCGCTGGAGGTTACGCGAAAGTCAAAGGTCAGCGACCTTTGACTTGACAAATGCAGCGCGACAGCAAGGACACACAACTGACTCGACATTGAGCAGTTGCCCGAGTCGCACTGTATCGAACCGCAACAGTAAAACAGTTTAATTATATCTCTTCGTATTCTTTGTACTCTTATATAAACCTTTGTACTTGCTTGTTTTAATCAACTTACTTTGCCCTCACATACCAGCGCAAGGTGGTTCAAGGACTTCATTTAAACGCTTCTGCTACTACATCACTCTACCCAGAGTTTAACCCTACCAAAGATCCTAAGGGGCACTCAGCCCAACATGGTATGAGAGCTGGTTAGGGTTAAAATTATTTCTCCTTAACACCTAATACACCAAGAGACATGTCTACCAGAAAGGAGAGGAGCTCCTCCAACGGCTCTCCTGGTACTACTCCTACTCCACCTCCTGCCTCTGGCCTACAGACAGAGGAAGGCACAACAACGAGACCGGCAGCTGGGTCTACTGAAACACCCGCAAACCAAGGCGCGGGCTTCGATCCAAGCATGATGGAGAAGTTTTTCTCCTTCATGTCCTTCTACGAGCAGCATCAGCAAGGAGCACCTGCGCAATCAAACAACAGCAACAACAACAACAACGTGACGCCCATGAGTCTCGATGGCTCATCCTACGCATGCGGGAATCAACAACAGCAACCTACCTTCGCTCCGTACGAGCCCCAGCGCGGCTCCGTCAGCTTCATGCCACAACCACAACCTGCACCGGGACAAGAGAGAACGCTGGACACACTACAAGTTCAGTCGCAGTTCGCGCACGTTCTAAAACTGCAAACGACAAAACCCTTCGACGGGAAGGATTTCTTTATCTGGTCGTTCGAATTCGAGCTGATGATGGAAGGAGCGCAAATCCTTGGCTTCTTCGACGGGTCCCTGCCATACCCAACAAACGGCACACAGTATGAGAAGCAGCAGTACACCTATCAATCGATGATGGCGTACACGATACTACTGAGGAACATCACTCCAACTCAACAACAAAACATACGGTCTTACCGAGGCTACGGCAACTCCGCGGAGCTCGCGTACAATCACTTGAAGAGCCTGTATCAAGCAACAGACAGCGTAAACCAAAGTCGGTTAATGGCGCAGCTGACAACAATCGAAATGAAACCAGGCGAGAAGGGAATGGCGTATATCAGTCGCTGCCGCGAGCTGCGCGACAAGCTTCTTCGATGTGGAGGATCGATTTCAGAGGATGCCTTCGTCACGGTTGTCATCGGCGGTCTTGGTCCTCACTGGCGCTCCACTCGCGCCATACTACGAGCCCACGGGAAAATTTCTGAAGCAGCACTTTGCGCCGAAATCCACGCCGAGCAGCAAGACATGGACCTGCAAGAAGAACGACACAAGAGAAAGGTATCAGTGCCCGAATTCGCGTTTCACACTCAACGGCGCCACAACAACAACAACAATCGACCGAAAATCGTACCTCCGTTCTGCCACCTCTGCAAGACTTCAGGGCATCCTCGTATGCACTGCCCGAATCGACAACAGTCAACGTCGCCGCAACGCCAACTTCGCCCTTCAAGCAGTCAAGTCGCCTCAACGCAAGCAAATCCGACAACTTCAGTACAAGTCTCAACAACATCGACGGGACAACCTGCGAAAGGAACAAGAAACATCGTCAGCTGCATGGCAAGGCTGAGTGACTCCTGCGTAACTGAGTCACCACCATATTACTCACCAGAAGAACAACTCGACAACAGCACGCCTCGCCGCGAGTCACTTCAACCGAACCCGACGTACGCCGCCATCGCTCAAAGCGAGCCGTCCGGGAAGGATACATGGTTCTTGGACAGTTGCTGCGGACAACATATGTGCTCTTCAGGACGTTTCTTTCAACGCGAGCACCAACTTCAACGAGAAGTCGTCATCACTGTCGCCAATAATCAGAACCTGCGCACACGACGACAAGGAGTAGTGCAACTTCAGTCACGAGAGACGAATGTCATACTGCAAATGTCCAAAGTCCTAATAGCAGAAGGACTTGGCTACAACTTACTGAGCGTCAGTCAGTTGATGGCGAAAGGCATACATCTGGAAGCCGACAGTACCACCCAGGAGTTCAAGCTGTACCACGGGAAGGGCGGCCTCTACATCGGAAAGGCGGTCCTGAAGAACAATGTCTTCGTTCTCGATTTCGTCCCAGACCTGGGCACCGCAGACAGTGACGGGATCGTCACCTTCACATCTTGGACGCACCCGCCGGATCTCGACCCCGACTTCAGTCCGGAAGGCTTTTGGTATTCACATACCATTCCTGAAGCAGAACGAACACGTGCGTTAGTAACAATACAACATTCGGCAGCAGCAGAGACAACATCGGCAGCAACAGAGACAACATCGGCAGCAGCAGAGACAACATCGGCAGCAGCAGAGACAACATCGGCAGCAGCAGAGACAACATCGGCAGCAGCAGAGACATCATCGGCAGTAGCAGGAACAACAACAGTAGCAGCAACAACGACACCACTCCTCGTTGACGAAGCACCACCAACACCCGCACAGCAGCTGAATCCGGCTCAACGGGAAGTCCATAGAAGCGCAAACTTCACCGCCAGCTTCTACTCCAACTCCGACGCGTATCGACGCTCACCCGGACACCGCGCCTCCGAAGACATCTGGCACGCACGCATGGGACACCCAAGCAACACTGTGTTAAACAACACAATAAGAGCAGGAGTCCTTGACAAGGACTCGTTACTACTACTCGACGGCAGAGAACTTCAATGGGCACGAGGAACATGACTTACCTGCCCCGAAGCCGACTTACCACATTGGCCGTTCACTCCTCATCACAACCCGAGCACACCCGCGTACGCACCACTCGAAAAGGTGTATAGCGACATCCTGTACAATCGGGAACCAGGGCAAGAAATATACAACTACACAATCACCTTCATCGACGCCGCCACCCGTTACGTCTGGCATCTAAACCTACCCAGCCGCGACATGGTCCTCAAAGCATTCGCTGCTTGGCTACCAGTAGCAGAAAGAGAGTCGGGCGTAAAGCTGAAAAGCTTCCAGTCTGACGGAGGAGGAGAATACACCTCTCAGCGATTCAAGCAGTACCTGGCGGAAAGGGGAATCAAGCAGCTCCTCTCTCTTCCCTACGCCCATCAGCAGCAAGGTGTAGCAGAAAGAATGAACAGGACTCTGCAGAACAGCATGCGCAAACTGTTGCATGGCATGCGGCTACCCAACCACCAGTGGCCTGACGCGATGGACCACGCTGTCATGCTGCACAACTTGCTCTCATCTATCACTACCGAACAACGCATCACCGCATCTGCTGTGGACAGGAAAACAGGGCAGCATAAAAATGTTACGAGTGTTCGGATGCATGGTACAGTACCGACCCCCAGCAGCACGAGCGGGCCGATTTTCACAACGCGCACAGTGGGGACTACACCTCGGCATCGAAAAGAACTACAACGCGTGGAAAATCTTTGACGTCCACTCCAAGGAAACAGTAGCAGCACGCGACGTCATTTTCTACGAACGACTCACGCTTCAGACATACCTTGCCAACCTGCAAGAGGACCAAGATCCCACAGGTGGTTTTCGTGGTGACCGAGCCTTCGCCTCGGCAGCAGACGAAGCTGACTCGGACGAGCAGAATGTGGCCAACGCATCAGAAGAAGCTGGACCCCTTCCGTTCTGCTCCGTCGACGTCCCCATGGACGAAGATAACCCTCGCGAAAGTGTCAACGCCGAAACCTTCTACTACTTCGCCGACAACGGTTACGTAACACCTGCGACAGTCAACACCAACGAAGCAGAACGAGTAGAACCGAATTTCATACCTGATCCAGAAGCGGGAGATGAAGCAGCTTATCCCGAGGATGCAACTCTTCCCCGCTACTCACAGACTGGACTGCAGATTCTCGGACTCGTCACCGCAGTCCACGGCAACACTCTTCCTAAGGAGCCTGCGACGGTTCAGCAGGCTCTGGGGGGGGAACACAGGGAAAAATGGCGTGAAGCCATGGACAGAGAGTTAAAGGCGCTGGAGGAACGGAACACCTGGAAAGTTGTCCCCATCAGCGTGGCAAGGAACAAGACCATTCTCACCGGGAAATGGGTCGTCCGCGTTAAAACAAAAGCAGACGGCACAATTGAGAAGTTCAAAGCACGCTGGGTTGTGCGTGGATTCGATCAGGAGCACGGACGGGACTTCACCGAGACATTCGCCCCGGTTAGCCGACATACCTCACTTCGAATCCTCCTCGCGATCGCCGCCATGAAGAAAAGGAAGCTACGGCAAATCGATGTCGCCAACGCGTTCCTCTACGCACCTATCGACGTGGAAATCTTCGTCGAGCTCCCACACGGTACCAACGGGGAACCTAACCAAGTCTGTCAACTGCTGAAATCACTTTACGGGATCA